GCCTTCATGCACTGGGTGTGGCATCCTGCAAAGGAGGGTCCTAGATGCCTGATCAGTGGAGCCCAGCAAGTGCGAGGACAGAGCGGCAGGTGCATCCGTGAGTGGGTCACCAACTCAGAGCAGCAGGCAGAGGCTCAGACTCTGCTGACAAGAGATGACACTGCACCTCATTTGCTGTGCAACATTTGTGTAATTAGATACATTTGGTGCCAGCAAGAAAGATCAGGCTACAACACCGGCTTGATGGATCAGGGTGCTCCACCAGGCTCTGACCACATTAATCACAGAAGCCAGAGCCATGGGGCTGTTTTTCTCTAGGCTTTGTCCTAGTTCCCAGCTGAGGCACTGTGAGAAAAGGTGAGGGGTGGGCTTTCTGGAGCTCAGGGCCAACCATTGTCCCCCTTTGCCCTAAATAGGAACCGACTGTCCCAAGGATAATGTGAAGCTGCTAAAGTCCACTCCAGCTGGATTGGGGGGCGACTCTGGGAACACTGTGCTGCTGCCCATTGTGGGGCTTTAACCAGCCTAGTCCCTCCTTGGTTGGGGAGGGGATGTGCACCCAAGAACCTGGTCCTTTTAGCCCTTCACCTCACGAGGACAATGTATGGTGGTCCTTGTGCCTCTCTGGGCCTCAGTGTCTGCATCTGCAGGATGAAACCCAGCAAGGACAACCAGGAGGATGGACTAATAGAGCACACCAGGCTCCAGGCTGCACCCACCCTGCACAGACCCGGGCAGATTACAGGCAGTCTCCAAGCTACAAACATCCAACCAACCTGCGACTTACACTTATGAAAGGGGGCTATTACAGGTAATAGGTAAGTGGACCTGCTCCAACTTACATACAAATTCAACTTAAGAACAAACTTACAAAACCTATCTTGTTCATAACCCAAAAATGTCCTACACTGACAAGCTTTATCACATTCTACTGAGGGACACCAGCCACCCCACTGGGACTTGGTGATGACAACTGACCTGGGTAATGACCCCTAAAAATGTCCATATCCCTGGAACTTATAAATGTTAACTTCTGTGGAAAAAAGTAATTTGTAGATGTGATTACATTAAAGATATTGGGGTGGGGGAGACAAGCCTGGGTTATCCAGGAGGGCCCTGAACCCAATCACACGCATCTCTCCAGGAGACAGGCAGAGGGAGAAAGCTACCATGCACGAGGAAGGTGCTGTGAGAGCAGAAGCATGAGAGGAAAGGTGTGGTGGTGTGAGGTTGAGGCTGTAAGCCAAGGAATGCAGGCGGCATTCCTGAAACTAGAAAAATCTAAAGAAAAGATTCTCTCCTGGAGCCCCCAGAAGTCACCAGCCCTGCCAACACCTTGGCCTTAACCCCATAAGACCTACTTTAGATTTCCAGCCTCCAGAACTATATAAGAATAAATCTGTACTATTTTAAGCCACTAAGTTTGTAGCAATTTGTGACAGCAGCAAATGAAATGAGTACACTGCCTTTCAGGTGAGAGCTGCGCGCCCAGTGAGGAGTGAGGCTGTCTCACAGGCTGCTGGCATCCACAGCCCACTTCCCTACATGCTTTGCACACCCCACCCCCCTCACTGGCCAGAAGGGAAGCAGGCCCAACCCAGGGCTTGTGAATGGCACAGGCTGGGAGCAACTCAGGCCACTTCTGGGTCCAGGGCTCACTATCTGCCCATGGAGGGGTGGCCCTGAGAGGTCCTCTCGGTCAGTGATGGGCCTCTGGTTATACCTGGAGCGCTCCAGCCTAAGTCTACAGGAACATCACCCAGATGGTATGTCAAATACAGACAGTGGCCCACTCCCAGAGTCTCTGACTCAGCTGTCTAGGTGGGGCCTGAGGACCTATATTATTCCTAACAGGCTCCTTGGAATGCTGATGCTACTGGGCCAGAGATTCTGGGAACCTGTGACCAGGAGCAGTACCTTAAAAAAGGGCTATATGTACGGACAGGAAGGTGTCAGCTGGACCTCACAGAGGGACCTGTGGCTCCTACTTATACCCTAAGAAAAGGGCCAACATGTAGCTGAGGGCCTGGGTCGGGGGGCCCTAATTTGATTTCTTTTTTTTGCAGTTTTTGGCCAGGGCTGAGTTTGAACCTGCTACCTCCGGGTACCCTACTCCTTTGAGCCACAGGCGCCGCCACCTAATTTGATTTCTAACTATCTTACTCCCTAATTGGATGACCTTGAGGGTTAGTAATCTAACCTTAGTTTTTCCATCTGTAATATAGGGAATAAAAAGAAAAACAATTAAAAAAATTATAATATGGGGAAGACACAAAATAATTGTCTTCTGGGGTTGTTGAGGAGATTGAATGATAGGAAACACATGATGTGCTCATGGCAGGGCTGTATCACAAGGTCATTTACAGTAAGGAACGGTGGCATCCATGCCGGGGTCCTCTTACACTTTTGGTGTTGCCCCTAGGTGTGTAGGGAGTTGTCAGCCAGGACATACACCTGCAGAAAGACACACCTGTGTGGATTCTCTCTGCACAGAGCTCTCAGCATTCCCCACATGTCGGGGGGGGGGGGGTCCACATGGGTCCAGGAACCATGTCACTGAGTCAACCAAACATATGTCACAAACAGGAAATCAGGAGCACCAACCCCCTTCCAAACAGCGACTGAGCTCCCTGATACTCCTGAGATTCTCAGATGACATCAACTGAGCAATCTGGGGGTGACTCAACTAATTCCAAATAAGTGAACGTGGCAGAGCCTGCTGTCTTGCAGGTAGAGGACTGTGCAAGTGAGCAGAGGGCAAACACCATCCCATCATCCACCAGGCAGACCTAATAAGGCTGCTGTAGCACATCCTAGTCACATGAGAACCAGGTACCCGTACTGAAATAAAATGAAAAGTTACCAACGTGTCAAAAGGACACAGAAGACAACTCAAAGGGACTACCAATGGCCATATCTGGGACAGTTTTAACAACACAATGAGAGGTAATGACAATAGAGTATAATCTATAAGATAACATGAATAACCATGCATCCCTGTGGAGATCAATAAGTAATCAGGAAACATGGGAGGGCACAGCTCTTCCTTACAGTGGATTCCAACCAGCAAATGTGGACGGATGGAAATAGAAAGTCTGCGTTTGGCAAACATGTTGTTACTATTTCTTGCAAAAACTATCAATGGATGTTTAAGTTAGCATGTGAAAACATGATGAGAAATAGCACGGTACCAAATTCTCAAAGAATTACCCCACAAGATGCTAATTAGCTACAAAAGGTGCAACATTAAAGTGGTGGGTCCAGCAGACACCGAGCAGTCAGCACTCCCAGCGCTGAAAAGTATAGACATCCTGCGCCTCCCAATAGGATGCTTGGGAAGGGCATGATGGCACTTTCAGGGTATTTGTCCCAAACTTCATCAACTGAATGTCAATACAAAGCAACATTAGGCAAATCTAAACCATTTCATACAGGAACTAGCCAGTAGTCTATAAAACTATCAGGGTCACGAAAGACAGAGATTAAGGAGCTGTCTAAGATTAAAGATGATTATGGAGGCATGATAATCAAATTTCAGTGTGGGATCCAGAACCAGATCCTGAACCAGGAAAACAGAGACATAGGCAGACAACTGACCAAATTTCGATAAGGTTTGTAGTCTAGTTAACAGCATTACATCAGTCTTTGTGAACACTGGAGGAGCTGGGTGAAGGTTACACAGGAGATCATTTATGACATTCACAACTGGTTTTATACATCTAAAATCCTCTCAAGGTAAAACATTAAAAAGCAAAAACATATTTTTAAGAAGACAATAAAAGTCTCAGGTTTGCTATGTCTTGGGGAGGACATGGGTGTCCCAGAACAGGACACTTCTCAGGCAAGATGCTTTGGGCACAGTGAGAGCTCAGTGTCATTAGCTTCACTTGGGACAGGAGATGGGAGGGGTGGCAGGGTCTATCTCCAGCAGGTGGAGTTCAGGGAATGGGCTCTTGTCTCAGCAAACACCAACCGTGCACCTACCAGTGTCAGCTGCTGAAGATACAGAAATGAGAAGGAACTCAAAGCCTGCGGGAGGCAGGTATGGAAACAGCTAATTCTGTGTGAATCTGGAGCAGATGCCCCCACTCAGCGTAGCCCCCACAGTGCCACAGGGGGAGGTGACTCCTTAGCTGAGGCAGGATGCAGGGGTGAGGCACAGAGGCAGCGGGCAGCAGCTTGGTATGGACAGAGGGGTGTTGGTCGGGTGTGAGGATGAAGGTGCTGGGCAGGAGGGGCCCTGGGCCAGCCAATCCTTCACAAAAGGTCCACTGGAGGCAGGAATGGGGAGCAGCAGAGGGTGGTGAGAAGGTAGAGTCCTCTCTCCCGGAAGGAGACTGGATGGGGCTGAGCCTTCAGTCATAAAGACCAAGAAAACTAACACCTGCCATAGGCTGGGAGGCTGGGAATGAAGTGGACAAGGTTAGCGGGAGGAGACACTCCTGAGGGCCTCAAAGCAGAGAACAGAAAGAGACCCCAAAGCATCACTGTGAGCTTGTCCTAGGGTGACCTTAGGCATGAGTTGTGTCAGCATATTTCAGAGCACCCACTTTCACTGTCTCCAAAAGCTTGAACAAGGTCAGCTTACTTATAGAGCAGTGGTTCTCAACCTGTGGGTCGTGACCCACAGGAACTGTATTAAAGGCTCATGGCATTAGGAAGGTTGAGAACCTGTTATAGAGGATCCTTAGACATGGATGGATAAAAAGCCTCAAAGCAGGTCTGGCACACCATGGAAGCCTGAAGCCTTAGAAGTGGTGACGTGGGTAAGGAGCTGGGGTGGGAGGGGTAGCTGGTGTCCATGTGCCACCCACCCACACGCTTGCACGGGGTCCCATGTCTGTGCACTCATAGGTGGCAAAGATGGATGCCCACTCAGGACAATGCAGATCAGGAACCCTGCCAAGATAGAGGAGGTAGGGGTGGCTGAAGCCACCAGCCTGGCCTCCTGATGACAGGTGGCCACACGCTAGGAGCAGAGAGCAGAGGGCAGGACTTACCCGTGCACACCGTGGACAGAGTGAGGCTCGTAATGGTACCTTCCCTCCTGGTGTCGCATGTCAATCGGGAAGGGTGCATGGAACGGTGGCAAGAGGTGCTGTGGCACTGTGGAGGGGGAGAGAGAAACAGGACTTCACAAACTTTTCCCCTCCCTCAAAAAGCAATTTTCAAAGTGCTTTAGAGCTCAATGAATTTCACAGCAAGAGCAGCCAGGACAAGGGGCTCCACGATGCCCGTGCTATCACACACCCACGAAGAGGGATGAATAAATAATCAAAGTCCGCCTGAGAATCCTACAACTTCCACATAAAAGATCCCCAACTGCGCTCTTGACAAAGACAAGCAGCTAAGCGCTCTTTGAACTCGGGGAGATTACAGGCAGGGCCATGAATCTGGGATCAGACGCAAATCAGGGCTGATAGAGCGACAGGTTCCAACTCTGCCAGCTTCTGCCCATCCTGGCCTTGGCTGTGTGTGGCTCCAGCAGCACCAGGCTGTGGCATCGGGATGCGGCAGTGCACAGGCTGGAAATATTTACCTGAAACCATCTGCAAAGGCATGGTCCACTCTGATGGTGCAGCCAGCCTCAGAAGGCCAAATCCCCCCACACGGCCTGCCCCATCTTGTTGGCAATCTCAAGAGGACTTCTATGCAGATGGACTGATTCTCCAGCTCTTAATAGTAATCACTGACCCCACCAGTGTTGGCGGGTGCCCCCAGGATTCAAAACGCCAACACGTGAGCATCAGTTTCCAGAGCTGAGTCATCCTCCTGTCTGAACTTGGTCTGCCCTCAACAAATCATCATGATAATTGTAGGATGCTCTTTGTTTATTAAAAAAAATTCCTAGGTATCCTGGAGGCAAATGTAATTATAGGCTTTAGGAAAACAAGGCTCTTTAAAAAGTAGGGAAAAGGGTTAAACAGTGGAGATTTCTCAGCTAACCTCTTACTCAGTCTGAAGGCCACAGGCCAGCGGGAGGGAAGCAAGGCTGAGTCCCCGGATTTCTGAATAATTTAAAGAAGTTTGAAGGGATTTGTTTTACATATGTACAGGTCAGCTTACTGCTAGGGCTATCATAACAAAAAGGCATGAAAATAACGTGCTGTCTCTGTGCAAACTGATTCCAACCTGGTACTATAAACACTATGCATTCTTTCTTTTCTTCATTGTGGTAAATAACACAGAAAATTTACTATTTTAACCACTTTTACATGCACAGCTGAGCAGGATTAAGTACAATCACGTTGTATAACCATCACACCATCATCTCCAGAACTGAAGCTGCACCAATTAAACACTAACTCCCCCTCCCCTCTCAAGCCTCTCCCCTGGCAACCACCTTTCTACCTGGGTCTCTGTGAATTTCCTATTCTAGGTATTTCGCACAAGTAGGAGCATGTAATATTTGCCCTTTTTGTGACTGACTGATTTCACACAGCATACCATCCTCAAGGTTCATCCAGGTAGCATGTGTCAGAATTTCCTTTCTTTTTAAGGCTGAATAATACCCATTCTTTGTGTGTATATATCACATCTTGTTTGTCCACCTATCTGTCAATGGACACCTATGTTGAATACAATGGATTTTTAACAGGAGGAAACTTTTCTTCTGAAATCTTATCTTTAATAATTCTATGATAATACTAGCATATTCCTCAGGGACTGAGAAAAAAGAAAGCAAATTGTCTCACCCTGTGTTAGTCAAAATGCCTAACTCTGAATCAAAGAGGAGCCAACCACAGACACAACAGCAGGCACGTGGGTCAGGACTCTGGCCCAGCTCTCACTTCCAGAGCCACTGACTACCGGGAAGACCACCCGCTCCCAGAGGCCCTGTCCCTGAACAGGGGAGCCTGTGTATGTGGCTATGGCTCAGCAGCTGTGACAGGACCACCAGGTGCTCTGGAGGCCGGTGGTCTCTGGGGTTCAGAGATCAATCACCAGCTGTCTGACTTTGAGCAAGTTTCTTGACCTCTGTGAGTCTCCATCTGTGTCGGATAATGAGCTACCTACATGGCTGCTGTGGAGATATAAAAAGTTCACATAGAGATGCTCAGCCTGGAGCCTGTGCAGGTAGGAAGCACTCAGCCAGGCTGATTACTGGTGGTGATTACAGACCTGGGACAACTGTGCTTTCCTAAACCCCCAGCGGATAGCAGGGAAATCGGGTTCACTTTCCCAAATGGGTAGGAAAGGGGTGTTTTTAAAAAATGACCAGGCAGACCTGATTGCAGTATTGCTACCAACATTAAAATGGTTTGTTTCTGTGTAGTTTTGAACATATCCCTGCATATCAACAAACTCCTTGAAGCAACTGTGCCCATTTCACAGATGAGAAAATAGATAAAGGCCAATGGTGACTTAGGCCTTGACCAAAGTCACAGCACTGAAAAATGACAGAGCCAAGAGAATTCAAGGCTATGGATGGCTGGCCCCACATCCAGCCCAAACGAATCCTGTCCCTGCCATACTGTAGTAACAAACTCACTGTGCTGTGAGCACCTCTTAAATACCAATTCCTAGGTCGTCACAGCAAGCTGAAGCTGCAGTTGTTCATTTGAAATGAATAATTTGCTACCTGAATGGTGCTGCGAAGATTTAAATGCTCCTGGGTCAGTACCAGGCAGTGCTTGGCCTCCACCCTTCCTGGGGCTTCCAATGAGCAATTTGTCCCAAGCTCTATGGATGGTGAATTTATAGTGTGATTATGGACTTGGGGGACTCCAAATATTAGTGATTGCTGCCGTCACCAGCAGTAAGACTGGTTCTGACCTGCACAGGCTCCAGGCTGAGCACCCCAGGAAGCAGCCTAAATGCTGGCTTTTCCCATGGGCCACCCCCCAGCACCCTGGGCTTTCTTATGGAGGCTGAGGAGGGGGCCCTAATGCTGTCAGAGCACAGGCCACCCCGACCCCCTCCCCACATCTGTGAGCTGAGATACTCTCTTAGGATTCATGATTCAGGCAACTTCAGCCAGGTTTAAAGACAGGATGAACTTTGGAGTTTACCAGGCAAACCCAAGGTAGAGGCAGCATGAGCCTGCCTCTGCTGCCCCACAGGACCAAGCTTTGTGTGGGGGTATGCATCATGTGTGGTGTGTGTAGACATGGTGTGTGTGGTGCATGTGCATAGATGTGCACATGGGGTAAGCTCATGTGGCATGTCTGTACAGTATGTGGTATGTGTACACGTGTGTAGTGTATGTGTTCTGTGTGATTTATGTGTGTGTACGTGTGTTGTGTATGGGGGTATATGTGTGGCATGTGTAGCATGCTTATATATGTGGTACATATACTTATATGTGTATATGTATTAATGTATGTATACATGTGTGATATATGCTGTATGTGGTTATATCTGTATGCACCGTGAGTACAAGCTGTGTGTGCATGTGTGTTCTAAGGGTTTACATGTATATGTGTGTGGTATGTGATGGAATGCAGTGATGTCAGCATGAAAATTAACCAGACTACAGCAGAGGGCCGAGGGCTGGTGGAGAGAGAGAGAGCAGGTCCTTCAGACTGTGCTGGCTGCAGGAAGGACCTCGGGATTTGTTTCTGAGCAGCCTGGGAAGCCTCTGAGAGGTCCTCAGCGGTGGTGTGGGACAGTGGCACACATCCTCCAGGAATCCCAGACTGGCTCTGTCACTAGGTGGCCACAGGACTTGGGAGAAATTATGTCCCCTCCCCAGTCTCACATTACTCTTCTCTACAGCAGGGATTACAGGAGCTCACAGGGCCCCTCCTACCAGCATAATTCTGCTGTCTGTGAATGGTCATAGGCTTCACAGGAAATGGACCATGCCTATTCCAGCCAGAGACATCCAGAGGCTTCAGGAGCTTGGGGCACAGGTGCCAGTTCATCTTTATGGCCTAGTATGTCTAACTCACTGGCCCAGGGGCCCTTCTAACTCCACTCAGCCCTCCAGCTCCAATGCCTGTGCCCAGGTGTAGCGGGGTGGCACCAACACATAACCACACACAACTCTTCCCCTACGTGGCCTGAGGGTTGAAGACTGACCCTGACTCTTCTGAGGTCCTGGGACCCTATCAAACCAGCATGGGCCATCCCCACATGAGTTGCTGAAAACCTTTGCTCAGAGCTGTGGAGGAGGAAATTCCACTCCCAAACTCCTGTAAGAAATCACTCCATCCAGAGGCCTCAGCAGCACCCGAGGGACATGAAAACAGACAGAAAGAACACAAGATGCCTTCCTGTGACACACCAAATGAGACCCTTGCACACATTGTTCTCATTGTGGGCTCTTTTGTTAAAAAAAAAAAA